TCCTCTTACAGAGACTAGAGAACTGGGTTGGCGTCGCTGGCACCGCCCTAAGTTGGTTTAGGTCTTACCTTGAAGACAGGAAGTACTTTGTGGAGATTGGAAACTGTGTCTCAGATCATATGGCCCTGACCTGTGGAGGCCCACAGGGGTCGATCCTGGGACCTCTTCTTTTCAATCTCTACATGCTGCCGTTAGGTCAGTTAATACGCAGAAACAAAGTTTCCTATCATAACTATGCAGACGACACTCAGATCTATGTCTCACTGACTGCAGGAGAACATGGACCAGTGGACTCACTCCTTCACTGTATCCAACAGATCAGTGAGTGGATGCAAAACAACTTCCTTCAGCTAAACGCAGACAAAACTGAAATGATTGTCTTTGGTCCCCAGAAACAAAGAGAGAGCGTCATCTGTCATCTACAGTCTCTCTCCCTAAAACCTTCAAACAAGGTCAGAAATCTAGGGGTAATACTGGACTCAGACTTAAATTTTAATAGCCACATCAAATCAGTAACATCAGCAGCTTTTTACCATCTAAAAAACATTTCCAGGATCAAAAACATAGTGTCTAAAGCAGACTTGGAGATTCTTATCCATGCATTTGTCTCCAGTAGGTTAGACTACTGCAATGGCCTGCTCACAGGTCTGTCCAAACAGGCTGTAAAACAGCTGCAGTACATTCAAAATGCAGCAGCTCGAGTCCTGACTAGAACCAGGAAGTACGACCATATTAGTCCGGTCCTCAGGTCTCTGCACTGGCTTCCTGTGGCTCAGAGAATAGACTTTAAAACAGCTTTGCTTGTGTACAAGTCTCTCCATGGCCTCGCACCAAAATATATTAGTGACATGTTAGTCCCATATGAACCAGCCCGGACTCTGAGGAGCACAGGGACTGGACTCCTGTTAGTGCCCAGAGTCAGAACTAAACATGGGGAGGCTGCTTTTCAGATTCATGCTGCTAAAATCTGGAACATTCTTCCTGAAGATGTGAGACAGGCCTCCTCTCTGACTATGTTTAAAACCAAGTTAAAAACTGTGCTGTTTAGCTGTGCATGCAACTGAGGGATTTTATATTTTTATCTTTCTTTTTAATGTTCTGTGATTATTTATGATTTTAATGCTATCTTGTTCAGCACTTTGAGTTGCCTTGTGTATGAATTGTGCTATACAAATAAACATGCCTTGCCTTGCCTTGCCACAAATACTGTGTACTGTAGAATCAGCTCCCCATTGGCAAAAAGGAAGCAGACACAGTCTTACATAAGTAAAAGACACAGATTGTCAGTCGACCTGCGTATGGAGAGACTTTGCTGAAAGGAGTATGACAACTTGAGCACCATCCTCTTCTCTCTCCTACCTTATCTGTCATCATTATGAATTCAGCTGTGGTCTATTCATTGATATTCCCTGTCCCATTGTCTGCTTCATGTCGTGTTGATGGGGTCCCTGACCCAGCCTTTTTCATCTGCACCTGTGAACTTGTCTCCCCCGACCCAGACTCGTGCTGCACCCCCTCCCTGCCTGGGAGTCTCTTCAGTCCTGCACGGCACAGCCTCAGTCCTCATTCTTCAGCCTGAGTCCCGAATCTATAGACTGTCTGTCCGTAGGTAGCAAATCCCTCTCCCAATGTGGGCCGCACTTGTTTCCCTCTGTTTTCATTTTGCTTATTCTTTGCCAATGCAGGAGGGTCTTAGAACAGAGATTTAACGACATTCATCAACATTTTGGACATTTTGGTCATCCCAATCTCCATGGGCCGATGACTCCTGCTCATGTTTTTGTTATTATTGTATTTCTTCAAGCTGTTTTCTGATTTGTTGTTGAGGAATTACCAACTTTGACTCAGAGACGACTGCATATGGCCATACAAAAATAAAATGTATTATATTGAACATTCAGCATGAGGTCAGGTGAGACCAAAATTCCAAACTAAGGCCCCGACTCCACCGGGCGCGTAAAACGGACGACGGATCCGTCCAAACATGTCCGTTTCATCTCCGTCTCCGTTATCTCCATGAGAGTGAATGGAAGTGGCTCCACTGCCTCCACTCCAATGGAAGTGGCTTCCGTCAACGGAGGGTGCAAAAGACGTGGACGGACGAAATAGAAACAATCCTATTTGTTCCGTCCGTCGACGCGTGTCGGGTCCGTTTTCCATTGAAAATGCAATGGAATAATATATTTACAACATTGTTAAACATGTATTGATATATGCTGTAGTCCTTGGTTATAAGTATTTGTTAATGACAATGATTATTAACAAACGTGTGTAATGTTTTTCATGTATTAATTTAAATAATTGTTTCCTGATCGTAAATCTACCATTTATTTTTCGCGTAATGTTAATCTTTACATAAACCTCGCTCTTCTGTCCCGTCTACCTCCGAGGCGCTCTCTCCTCACCGCCGCGCGCTCCCAGACAGACAGACAGACAGACAGACAGACAGACAGACACGCACACACACACAGAGCTGCACTTATGAGAGACAGATCTCACAACACTGGATATGTTGGAGTTCTTTTCTCTCTCCCCTTTTTCCAATTGCTTTCAATAAGTTTTGCCTCATCCATCGCGACGTCCTCAATGCTTCAATATGCCGTGCTTTGCACTGATCATAGCCACAGCTCATTCAAATCACACACCGCTTCTTCTATTTAAAACTATAGCTCTGCCTGTTGCCTAAAGCCGCAGAGAGGCGAGTTGGCTCCGATAAAAGTGTATCATGCGCTAAATAAGTAGAAAACAAACGAAGAGGCTGGATCATAATAAACGCTGCAGTCACAGACCCAAACACACATGCACGCACACGCCTCCCACCACACACACACACACACACACACACACACACACACACACGGGCGCTCTCACGCACACGCTCACGCACACATGCACGCCGACAATACATAACTCCTCCATCAGCCAAACATTCATTCATTCACACAATGCCCAAACATGTCTCCTACAAAAATAAAGCAGGCTGATAAACGCACAGCCAGAGTTGCATGCTGCTGCAGCCGGTTTGACCACTGGTCCGTTTTACGGACGGCTGACGGACAGCAGCCAACGCGCGTCAACGGAGACGCGCCCGGTGGAGTCGGGGGGTAACACTGCTCGGTGCACCATCCCCAGTGTCAAATATGGGGGTGGCAATATCACGTTATCGGGGCTGCTTTTCTTCAGGAGGGATAGGGAAAAAGAGTAAATGGGAACGTGGATGGAGCAAAATGTAGGAAAAACAAGGAAGAACCGCTGCTGTAGCTCGGGATCTCTCATTTCCACATATTTACCACTGCAGTATGTCACCTGTATACAGACCCTACTGTTCAGTTTTTATCTATTTTATATTAACAAAATCATTTATGTCTGTGACAAAATGTGCAAAACTTCAAGCTAAATTAACACCTCCACCGTAATGTGCCTGTAGGCCATTATGTTTTCTTCAGGGACATTTGCATTTTAATCGTACATAGGTGTTTTTCTGTTCATTTAACACCTTCTCAAGCATTAAACCTCAGCATCACGTTGATCTTTGCATTAAAAGAGGCACAGGAGGCTGCAGGTGTATTTTATCTGCTGGCCCCACATTGGAAGAGTTTCTCCAGATGCCAAAACTGGAGGTAGGCTTGGAACAATCATTTCAAATCATTAGTGTGGGTATATTTTTAAAGTAGTCTTATTTCTATGAGACTAGTTTATCAAGTCTCAAGGTGCTCTTGGTCAGGTCTCCCTTGAAATAGTGATTTATCTCAAGGGACATCCTGGTAAAATAAAGGTAAATTAAAATAAACAATCTCTTAAATAATATACATATAGTGAAAAATCAAAGGAATTACATGTGCAATATAATCAAATGACTATCATATAACTAAATGAGTAAGTAATTGTATAGCACATTTCACAGACCAAGGTTCCTTAAAACGTTTTACAATTTTGGTGGACTGGTCATTTAAATTCACGCCACACACGGTAATGACTGAAGCCAAATGCCCCCAACCATCGCATTCATACTTATTGTACATATTTTTAGAGATAGGGGAAACCGGAGCACTTGGAGGAAACCTACTCAAACACGGGGAGAACATGCAAACTCCACACAGAAAGGCCCCCACAGAATGTAAATAGAATGAAGACACATTTTATTAGAACAGTTGTACCACATACAATGAGTTGCATAACATCAAATTCTCCCATGTTTGAGCGTTGGGGTGTGGTACTTGAACAGTACGATGAGGCCCAGACTCCATGTTGGCATGGTAACCTAATTATTCATTTCTTTGGACAAGGCCTCATTTGTCGTAAGTCCACTGAACACGCAAAACTACTGATATTGACGATGTGTGAGTTGTCCTGTATCTACACTGGATTCCTCCTATTTATGGTGAAATAATGTGTTATTGAGAAAGTGCATGACGGAAAATAAGAAATCTGTTGAGAGCAATACGAATACATACAAAAAAGAGGACTTATTGGTCGATTAAAAAGTAAATAGACATGAGGAACAGTTAACTATCATGTGATAAGTGATGCAAAAAGTTCAAACCTTTTGTACTGGTCAAATAAAAAGGGCAAAAGACAGGCACATACAAACAGTTACATTGAATGGTTAAAGTTACAAAACAACCTTGGATCAAAAACAGTCACTGTCACAAGAATACCAAGCAATACTGAGCTCAGTACAGAATACATTTAGCACACAGCTGAGATGCTCTGAGGCAGTGATGACGTGGAACCGAGTGGACAAAATAGCAGATTTGTATTTCTTTTTTTACAACACAGGAAGTAAACAAAATGTAAATATATTTGGATCCATAACCACATTCTCTTAGCCTCCTGACAAACTTCCTCTTTATTTCAATAGTCTCCATGACCCGACACTGTGCTCACAATAGCCCTAAATAAATAGAGAGGAGCCCGGTTATAAATAAATGCCAAAGAGAAAAGAGCGAGAGCCCCGCCTCCGGACGCCATTGCTGCGGTAACGGCCCTGATGCTCTTCCTCAGGTGGCGTCCTCGTCCTCCTCATCCAGGTGGTAGTTGAGGGTGATGACGGCGCTGATGAACTCCCCCAGCTCCACAAAGTCAGCCGTGATGATGTTGATGCCGCTCTCGCCGGGACGCTGCGACCGGATCCACTGCATCATCCCCGGCAAGGCCCTGGGGACGAGAGGCAGCAGGGGCAAGAGCAGTGAGGAGGAGACAGATGCCACACAGAGACAGGTGCCATTGTCCAATCATGGGGGATAATCATGAGGATAAAGAGGCAGGCTTTTTTTGCGATGCCGCTATAGCTCTAATCATACACTGGATGTAGATGGACAATGCTAACCCACTAGCAGGGAAGTGCTCATGGGGTTAGTTCCCACTGGGTTTTTGACATGTTCCTCGGCGGTCCAGGAGAGTCTAAAAACAGTCTTGATCCGGAACATTTAAAGTGTGTAATGTTCAGAGGATGCAAATTAGCCCTCATGGCTACAATCTGGAGCGTTGTGTTCATAAACATGTACTGTTCCAACCAAATAAACAATAAATAAATAAATATCCTGGTTAATCACCTAGACGGGGAAAGTTGGTAGAATGAGCGCTTCTGGTGCAAATTTTATGTTTTCAAATATACTCTTTAAGATAATATAAACTTGATCTCACAAGGGAGAAATGTCCTTTTATGCTTACGTTGCATTACAGTGAAACTAATGCGAATTTCCACGAGTCAAAAAAGACATCCGTGTTGTTAGACCTTTAGTTTGAGGGTCTAACCACACTCAGTCCTTATTATATACTGTCTATAGTGGTCTCTGGCTTCCTCTGAAGTTCAAAAAGGTTTCTTCGGTCGCACAAGTGGTGGAGACTGCTTGCAGTTCGCTGTTTGCTTAATGTAAACATCCAAACAGATTACTACTAAGATAAATAGTAATCAAGTAAGAGCACAGATACAAATCTGATCAGCACGTATTCGACATTTGTTACTCTCTCACTTTAGATCGATGATGTGATCTGTCTTTCCAAAAACAAGAGGACGGGAAAGTGGTTTAATTGCACTGTGGAGAGCTGCTGCTCCATCTACTTTTTTCTTCTCATGTAAACTAAATTGCCTGTCATGGTTCTTGACGTTGAAAGTGGAACTAAAACTAATACCAGTCATTTTGTTATGAGCTTATTTTTGCCCTGCAGAGATAAAACAAGGACGCACCCATCGTTACAAGTTTCTAAATGTCTCATCAGATTTGCTTTGTTGGGAAAGTGCTGGTGTTGCTGCTGATTAACACTAGAACTCATTCCCATTCAAACCAATGGACTTCTGAGATTTCCCCAAGGAATGTTTAATGTTCACCAGATTCACTAAAAGAACGTCATTTCTGTGTAAGTGTTTACCTTTATTCACTAAAACTGAATGACTAAAGTACTAAAACTGGTGATTATAACTGCAACTGAAAAAAAAATACTAATACTACCTTCTGACAGTAACAGTGTGTTGCTATGGTAACTAGCACTTGATGTTCTCTGGTGGAAAATTAGTTAAAGGTAGAACAACTCACATTTCAAAAGTAAAAGATAATTTCATGAAAAGCAATGACCGAAATAAACCACAAAAAGAGACAGAAAATGATGAAGACCACAAATGTACATGAGATGAATAATCACATTTCCAAAACTAACTGTTTCGTAGTACAGGCGCTAGATCCAAGGATACATGAGATACATATTTGGGATGCCTTTTGCACAAATTATTCAACAATACAGTCCTTCTAAACTTTTTGCTTTTTGTTCGGAAACAGTGATTAGAAGCTTCCATCTGTTCAAATCAAATCACGCACTGTACCATTTACTGTCAGGATGCTCAAGGCTGCATCCAATTTCCTGCTCTGACACCGCAACGCACAAGACAAGTTTAAACACTTTGGAATACTATCATCGACAGTGGCTCAGTTGGTAGAGCATTGGCCTTAGAGCCTGAAGGTTGTGGGTTTGAGCCCACCACGAGACCTACTTCACAACTCCCACTGATCACTGCTGTCATTGTGTCCTTGGGCAAGACACTTAACTCCACTTTGCCTGAAGCCGTCGTTGAATAATCAAGGCTCCTGTGGACTCGACCACCTGCAGAAAAATCAGTGACGGGCTGGTGCTATGTGCAGTGGGTGCAGCTCTGACTGCCACCCCACCGACCCAGAAATTGATTAAAGCTGTACTAAATCACTTTGTGAAATTTTCTAATGTGAGCGCTGGCCTCGCTCTTTCTGTGAGGCCAGCGCCTCCCCCCCCCCCCCGCACTCACGGAGCTATCGCCCCCCACTACCCCCCCCCCCACTCAGCCTGTGCTTATATGTTTACGCAGCTCACATCTCACAATATGGATCGCAGATTTGAACGTGGATGGCGTGACCATAGAATAATGGCTGTTTTGCTGTGTAAGCAGTAACCAGTAACGATCCCAATGCATTGCATGGATATGGATCGAATTTTCATAATGAATACAAAAATAAAGTGAGGTAATTCAGCTTTAAGGGGAAAAAAATGGATGAATGGAATACAATCATTTTGAAACATCAAGGTTCGGTGGGTTCTTTTAACTATTTATCTTCATCAGCCTCAGCAGCATAAGCATGAGAGCATTATGAACACAAGACGTTTCAGCACCACAGCTATTCTCAGGCTTTAAAAGTACAGTCTCAAGGGCATTGTGTTCAAAAGTGACATATCTCAGCATCTCAAAACATCTGCGATCCAGACCCCAGCTGAGACAATAACGCTATATGGACACACTCCTCCCACAAATAAACTCTCTGATTTTGTCTTTTCCGGCAAGTGCCACCCTGATAGCAAGACGTATGTGTGTGTGTGTGTGTGTCTGTGTGTGTGTGTGAAAACGGCGTGCATGGAGTTTCGAAGGATGCCTACATCAAAGTGAGCCCCGATGCCTGATAATGGAGATATCTAATGAATTATACATGCCCAGGCGGGAAACTGATGGTTTTGCTTCTTTGCCGCAACAAACTGGTGACATTAAGAGGCCGTGAAAACACTGCAAATTGAAACCTCTGCATAAGTCTCAATAACTTGAATTCTAAATATCAAATCGCTGTATGACATTAGATCCATGAATAAGTGCGGCATTCTAAGCCAGACGACCGGAATCAAAGTCAAACTAAACTACTATCTTTATTAAAGCTGTGGTATCTGATTTTCTACCACTAAAATGGAACAATGTAGTACCAGCCAAATAGTACCAGACTTTCTATCAGAATCTGAATTATTGTATTGCCGTGTAAGTAACAAGAAGTCACAAACTAAAAAATTGCTTTGGCTCTCCGTACAAACAAGTTAAAGAGAATAGAATAAGCCATGCATAAATAAAAATCTAAATACATTTCTTAAAATTAGTACTATTTACGCTACACAATGGACCTTTAGCAGTACCTTAAAACAAAGAGAAATATACTGGCTATAGAAACTCTGAAAGTAATGATATATCCAGGTACATTTGTGTATCCATGTTCCCTCTGGTAGTGTTGTAAGAAACGACAGCATAAGACACCCAGACTTCTGCACACGCACACCGCACACGGAGGATTTCAAAGAGTTGTGTTGTGTTCTGTGCTGTAGATTCATGTCAAAATCTCTGTATCTCAGTATTTTGCTTTTGAACTCAGGAGCCTCTGTGTCCAGCGGCACAGGGAGAGAATCATCGCCGCTCTGTGTACAAACATGCAAGCTCACCGCATAGCCAGCAGGACTGTGTGTGTTTGTGTGTGCATGTGCTTTGTGTGTTCTGTGTACAAACATCCTAGCACGCCACATAGCAAAACAGAACTGTGTGTGTGTGTGTGTGTGTTTGCTTGCTTGTGTGTTTGTGCGTGTATTTGCTTGTGTGTGTGTGTGTTTGCTTGTGTGTGTGTGTGTGTGCATGTGCTTTGTGTGTTCTGTGTACAAACATCCTAGCACACCACATAGCAAAACAGAACTGTGTGTGTGTGTGTGTTTGCGTGTGTATGTTTGTGCGTGTGTGTGTGTTTGCGTGTGTATGTTTGTGCGTGTGTGTTTGCTTGTGTGTGTATGTGTTTGCGTGTGTGTGTTTGCGTGTGTGTGTGTGCGCGTGCGTGTGTGCGTGCGTGCGTGCGTGCGTGTGTGCGAGCTTGTGCCTGTGTGGGGCTTCCAGTATATGGTGAAACTTGGAAAATTAGAATCTCCTTAAAAAATCCATTTACCTCTGTTTTTCAATTAAAAATATGAAACCAGTATAAGCCAGACTCATTACAGGCAAAGTGAGATTCATCAATATTGATATAGTTCTTACATTATTGTTATAATGTTGATCATGGGCTCACAGCTTGTACAACCCCATAAAAAAACATCTCATAAATGTATTCTGTAAATGGACTGTAGGCCATAAGCATCTAAATTTTAAGATACCTCAGCTTTTATAGCAGGTAATAAGTCATAGATTAATTTCACATTTTAAGTTGAATTAGAGAAATACATTAATTTTAAAAACTTGACAATATGCTAATGGTATATGTGGAGCACTCATTCTCCCACAAGTCTATTGTCACATTGTCTTTTCAAACTGAATCATGCATCAATCATTTCAGTCACTTCACATAAAAATCACGCAGTCAGTTATTTTTGTTTTTTCAATCATTTTGTCAAATTTTAGCCATTTTTCTCTCATCTTTGACCGAGATATTCTCAAATAATCAATGGAAATCCGAAAACAAGATGTCATTACGAGAGGGCGCAGGGGTCTGGTCAGGGGTTTGGTGGCAGCTGTTGAAACAATTGGATTTGGAATAAGGTCATTGTTGAAGTCCGCAGACACCACACTCTCTACATGCCTCTGGATTTGGACACAAAACAGCGCAGTGACTCACATTTCTCTGTGGTGCATTATGGGTAAATAATGTCATTTTGTGGCGACCGTTGCCTCAGGGTTTAGTTTAAATATAGTCTGCTGCAAAATGTCGAATGTTTAGAATAACGCCTACGCACGACAGATTTCATGGTGACTATTGGCATTTATAGTTATATATATTTAGAGTTATATCATTGAAAAACCACTCTGCAAATGTGGTTTGAAAGACGAATAGATGTTTGACAAGCAAATCTGTGATGAAGCTAATAAGATATAATGCTTTTCTCATGCATATTCCTAGAAATGCTTCTAAAATGGTACTGTCTGCTGCTGCACAGTTAAACATAGAAACATTTTTGCAAATATTTTAATGAGAATCCAAAATAATTTTAATGTAATATACCCAGAGGTGGAATAGTTCAGCAAAACATAACTTACTGAACCAATTGCACTTCTGAACCAATTGCAATTATTTTAGTTTATTTTATTTTATTCTTATTTTAATTATATAGTCTATTATCTTAAATAATAGACTCAATTTGATGTGTGCAATCTGAGGGCTCTTATTTTGTTCTTTCTCTGCTGAAATGTGCGCAACGATGACACTGAAATTTCTCCACTTTGAGATGAATAAAGGAATATCTTTTTTTATCTTATAACATTTGTTTTGGTGCAGACACAAATGAGATTTACTGTACCTCTCTGTGATGGTCTCCCGAAGTCCGCTGCCCACGCCCTTCATCACGGTGCTGGCCTTTGGAGTGAGGACCACCTGTGACACGAAGAAAGAACCCTTCTTTCTGGAAACACACACAAAATAACCCGGTAATGATCCACTCGTCTGTAACAAGATTCACGGAAAAAGGTACAGTTTGCTTGAAATTGTCGTTCAAAATATTAATGGACTGTATGTTTAGTCCTGACCTTTTTTTTAGTTCAGTTTTATTTATTTATTTTTTGTGTGTGCATTGATTAATTATCCAAGCGTATTGATGGGAATTGGTGGTATGGTGTATGTTACCCGAGATGAGAAAGGCCAAATACCAGTGACAACAACAAAAAAGAAGAAAATAACAGCAATAGCGACGATGGTGATGATGAAGATAAAAATTACGACAATACTAGCGACCTCAACAGTAGCGTTATTATTGTTACTCTTCCGACAGCATTCCTCAATAGTTTGTCTGTGATTGTCTGTGATCTCTGTCATCTTCACTCTTTTTAATGTACTGTGGTTATTTATTATTTGAAACCCTTCATTATAATGCTTCTTTTGTTGGGTTGGTCACCATTTTGAGCTTGCCTTACTTTGCCTTGACTTTTTTTACTGGGAATAAAACATTTATTTCAGTACTAATGGAGCTGCAAACAGGCCAGTCAGCTCGGTCTCCAGAAGTAAACCAAATTCAAATCTAAAACACAGCAAAACAAATTCACTACTTTGTGGCTTTTAACATGGTTTTTACTCAACAGATAAAACACAGATAGGGGTTTAAATTTCTTTTTGTAACCCCATGGGAAAAATAAATGATTTTTTTGTATTTGTTTGTATAAGCAGTGATCAGAACAGAAAGAGGAACTGATCTGGTGGCTCATATTAATCTGTTTTCGTTTTAGCATATTTTTTTTAATGTTCTAATCATCAGCCAAAGACCCTCTGTTTTTTATAATATAATATAAAACCCAAAGTGAAAATAGCTTGAACTGCTTCCTTTTCCTTTTAAGCTTGTAGCATCAAGGACATTGTTGCATAAAATGTGAAGAAAGAGGAAGTCTAGACACATTTGTTTGGTTATATGTTTTCCTCTCAATGTTGCCATTTCTGTATTGTTTGTAATGAAATCCAATGTTAGACTTTTCTGACCATAAGTGTTTTCTTGTTTCTTAAGAGCAGGTTCCGCAGCTCGCTCCTGTAGCGGCTGGTAGCGCAGCTGAGGAGCATCGAATACATTCACACTAAAAATAAACCATTGTACAGTCCTTATGTGTCCTCACTTATGTAACCAGGCGCTTATGTCTGATCAGAGTCTGGAAACGGATCCCACACACTCTAAACAAAAGCAACAGCACAGCACTTTAAGTAGTATATAGAAAAAAAAGTAATTTATGCCACAGACGCAATCACAGAATCACGTGCAAATTAAATTACTTATTTTTAACTATCGCTAAGTCACTAACTGGATTTTTTTTTCATTGCAACATTATACAAAAGGAAACATCTAAAATTTGATTAAAAGAAGCTTATATGCAAATTGACATGTACATTTCTCCAGCGTCAGACTGTACAATAAGTCACTTAAAAAAAACAGCACTGCTATTGCCACTCTTTCTTTTATTGCAATTTTTTTTTTGTAGATGATTATATCCTGCACAGACTATATTTTTTACCTTAACATGTTGCACACTTCTGTCTTTTGATTCTGTCTATGACAAATGTGACATGTACATTTCTCCAGTGTGAGATCAATAAAGTATCTTATTACACACATCTGGCCTGAGACATGATCCAGAAACTTCACATTGTCCATTACAGCTCAAAAAGTATTTACATTAAGTGATTGATGAATAAAACTTTAAAAAGATCACATAATTGTTCTTTAAAAACGGCTCAACAAATTCCAGATATAAACAGACCTTAAACATTTTGGACTTTTGGCTTGAATTGTCAAATAAACAGCAAAGATTTGGTTCACAACTCTGGGAAAAAACTCCTGAGACGTTTAAGTTATGAGAAAGATGGAGTCTGAGAACCCAGAATGTTCCCCAATTTTTTGACTGAACTTTAAGGGCTCTGAACATGTATTACTACTATTATATTACATGTATTACTACTGCAGTGAAATAGCAGTCATTATTGAGTTCCTACATGAAAGATGCCAAGATCCCAAACTATAGCTTCTCATTTGAAATCTGATGGTGTTTTAGATCTCATTCTACTGCCATATGTTACATTATGTTCACATGTTATTCACTGAACGTACTCTTAAAAAATATATATATATCTGGGCAAGTTTCACTGTACTCATTTCTAAGTGTTCACAAGCAACTAGTTAATATCCTCTTGCAAAAAGCGTAGGGAAATAGAAGTCGCTAAGATGAGCTCAGAGCCAGCTGCAGGCCGAGGCTTTGGTGATTAAAGGGGCGAAGCATCAGTGGAGGGCGGCTCCAGCTGAAGACCCCGCAGCTGCCCATGGACTGTGTGAAGATGGATGAGGCTAACCTGCTAGCTCAATAAAGGCCAATCGGGAAGTGCTCATGGATGAAGTTTTACGCCAACTTGCTTTGTGTGTGTGTGTGTGTGTGTGTGGTAACTGACATACAGATTGAATAGGGCTTGGAATTCATTGATTTTTTAATTAGATTTTTTCCAGTAGATACTTTCGCTCCTCAATAACACAGTTAAAAACGCAATTCCTTTTGGAGAGACGTCAAAAGTAACTGTAAATAATCAATCTGTTTTTATGGACATTTATTATCCTTTATGGACGTTGGTCATCTGCCCCTTACCGACCAATGGCTTTACGTGTTTTCTATCATTGCATTTTCTTTGTTTGAACTGCTTGATTCTCTGGTCTGTGTTGGCAAATTGACAACGTTGTAAGGTCCTCTGAGAAAACTACTGTTGTGATTTAGGGCAATACAAAAATAAATCGAACTGAATTGAATTCCAACAACAAGAACCATAGCAGCACCAAAACATACCATGGTTTGTTATGTCTTTGTGATGGTGTGTTTCTTTGTGTTTGTGCCTGTTGAATGTATTTTTCATCTGTTTTGATATCAACCTGCCATGGGACTACAGATGAAAATTAGCCTACATGGCTCTCTGGCACATTTACATCTTGAAAAACACATGTTGATTAATGTGCACTGTCCCAACTCAAAATAAAAAAAGTAAAAAACCTCGCCAAAACTATATCTTTTAATCGGTTACTTCCACATTCGAGAAACACATTGGGATGATGACAGCGCTTGGTTATAAGACCTACCTGTCTCAGACCTCATAACACCTGACTGAATTAAAATAAATCTAATCAGTAAAACTCCCATTGTCCAGAATGACGCCACACTGCATTATTATTGTTATTATTATTATTATTATTATCAGTCCATTCTCAGCATCCTAACCTTCCATGGGTTTGTTTGTTCTTGTCGCTGAGGATTATGTCAGAATGAACATGAGCTTGTGTGATGATCCCGCCTGCAGCACACTGACCTGCGGTCCGTCAGCGTGGCCTGGAGGAACTGGACCAGCTTCTCCGGGTCAGTGGTGTTGGCCCACGGAGAAGGCATCATCTGCCCCGGCCACAGGAAGGGCACCTCCACGGCCATGGGGTGGTGGTAGAACACAAGGACCTGGTATTCCATCTCCCACAGATACTGAAGGCTCACCTGTCAATGTGCAACAATGGAATAGAAATGGTTACAGGTTAATACACTGAGGTTTGAAGGATTTTTTTTGAAATTTTGGATTTTCCATTTTGAAGATGTGACAAAAATGCATGATTTGTCGTCACAAGATTAGATCAATAGGTAGAATTCCTTTGATAAATACGTGATTGACTGTTTTGATTTAATGACTACTTCTTGTATTCTGTTTCTATTTTATCTTTCTTCTTCCTTCACAAATGCAATATAAGTAATGTTTAAAGTATAGATATCCTTCCACCAAAGTAAAATCTAAAAATTTTCAAAACAAGAACAAACAAAAACCCAAAGTAAAAAATTGACTGGATTTTACTTATAAAACATTTGTGAAGAAAAGTGAGAAAATAGGTAGAACATAAGTAGAACAAAGGATAAGTGTGTTTTCTTTAGGTTTTTTTGTCAAATCAAAATACATCACATCTTTCACAAATTAAATAGGATAAAAAACAAGAGGGAAAAAAGCTCCAACTGGAACCGAATTCTACCTATTGATCTGACAAAATGTGACAACAAATTATGCATGTTAAAACTAGTTCCAGAACCAAACGTTTTTTTGGGAGGGTCTCAAAGTAAGCTACCTCAACGTAAATATACTGTAAGTCAAGGACAGTGCCGATATTGTTTATTATCTAATTTGTTTATAATGGATCACGTTCCAAACACAATGCAGAACAAAGATATTTCTTCAATCAATAACAACATTTCTGCTCAAAGAAACAGGATCCTCATAGGAGCCCTCACATGGGCACAGGAAAGGGAAAAACATCCAAACGTATCTATGCAAGATGGGAAATAATCTGTTTTTGGAAGAGAGAAATGGCTTCCAGATTAGGGAGGATTTTATCACAGGCGGCGCCCTTCCTATCACCAATAATAATATCTCTGACTAAAAGAAATTCACAAAAAACGGATTAGATAACAATGAAAACATAATGTATATAAACATTTTAAAAACTGCCAGAGATACAGGGGAGAACACAAAGCAAACAGGAGATGTCCGTGGAACATCACCTCTGCCCCAAGTCGACAGTCTCCCATAGTGTCCTTTTTAATGCACTACTTTAGACACATGTATGCAAAATGGCACACAAAAAGGAGGGGAAAATAGGGGCAATGAGGGTGATGGGTGGATGCATCAAATTGCTAAGATAGACACTCGCACCCATACACACCCACACAAACACATACACACACACATATGAATATCCGCACTGTTGTCTGTCTTGTTTGCCTTATTGCATTTGCCTGTACCACTGCACCTGTATTGTATGCATGTATTTTTGCAATAAAAAAAACAATAACCATATCTCTGATGTAAGCCCAGTCTGCGCCCAGTCCTCGTGCATTGACATATGGCTGAGCAGACTGCACACAGGGAAAGGCACATGAGCTCCTATAGCACTGTGAGATCAATAAGACATATCCTTCAAAGCAAACAGGTCCATGAGATCCACACAGGAAATAATTGAATGGAACATGGGTCCTTCAACTTGCATGGGGACAGTCTGAGGCCAGAGGGACTAATGGAGCCTTTTGTGAACTCTACAGGCGCTTAGAGCAGTCTGCAAACGGAGCGGTAATACAGACAGAGCTATAGAGTCAAAGAATTGGCTATTTTGAAAGCAAAAGGTGGATCAGATGAAGTTCTAGTGGATCAAGAAAGTAGTATCTGTGGAAACTACTGTGTGACCATGATATCTGATGCTCAGACTGAGAAAGAATGAGAAAAGCTAAATTTGAATGATGTGTCAGGATTTCATTTTAATAGTCTAATCAAATAAAAATGACAGATTCCATACAATAAAGTTGATGATAATATGAGAAAAAGGGGGCACGCTGCAACAAATCATATTTTTTGCATCAGCCCTGTCCATTTTTATGATATATCTATACATTAATTACAACATCTTCAAATGAAATATATATGCATTGATAGATATTCTTGTGGCGGAGCATTTGATAATTCTGGAACCCCCTCATCCCATCAGAAAGAGATAAATCATAAGATAAGAGGACTGAAACACCAGTGTCTATAAAAATTGGTATTAGCTCAATCTTGTCTGATTATGTGCCGCTAAAGGCAATCTTCCCCTGGGTTTTTACAGAAAATTGCACCATAACAAGATTCCCAACAATGCACTCACAGAGAAAAGACTGTTATCCCATTGTTTTGGACACATGCGTGGGGAAGTATTGTGAAATGATTGTCACCTCTTGGGCAAAGACCACTGGACACAGCTTGTCCCCAAAGATCTCCTTCAACATGGACACCAGCTTTTCATGGTGATGGTTCTGGACGCCGTAAAAATGGTTGAAGTCCAGGAAGACCACTTCTCGAGCGTGGGACGACAAGAAACTGCTGATCTGCTCCAGTCCTTCTCTGACCTGCAGGAAGCGCAAATAATGCAATCATTAAAGTAGTCAACTGAATATAAGGGATCAACGCTGATAAACACAAGTTGGTTACTTGAAAAATGGCCGTCTTAAGGTTTGGCTTCATTTTCTAAGCCATATTTTAAGACAAAGGAAATGATCAATGATTAATGCCAACAAGTGGGAATCTATTATGCCCTCTCCATCTTGTTACGGACTAGGCCCTTATGGGGGTCCTGGGACTTGCCCATTTCTCCGTCCTGCCGCTCCTCTCTCGCTTGCCCAGGGAGACCAGTTGGCGCTGCAGCAGTGGGTGTGTTCGCGTGCCCAGTCAGCATACGCGCATATAACCTGGAGGAAAGGTGCACGCGCTCTCTCTCTCTGCGCGCTCCTGGGGGCCATTCCATACCTGCCCTGCTGCCGGTTGCATCTCCTCCCTGGCTTTCCCTGGGAGGAGAGCCAGAGAGGACTGGGCGCGCGAACACGCCCACAACTGCAGCGCCAACTGGTCCCCCTGGGCAAACAAGAGAGAGGAGCGGAAGGACGGAGAAATGGACAAGTCCCAGGACCCCTATAAGGGCCTAGCCCGTGACAATCTACACCTGCCCGACCCGCCTGGGAACTGCTTCAGTCCTGCAACGGACCTGTCCACGTTCTGCGGCCACTGAGTGGCCTTGGTCCTCGTTCTGTAGCTTAGGTCCTGGATCTATAGCCCGTCCGTCCGTGTGGAGCGGATCCCTCTCTCAATGTGGACCTGCCCGAGGTTTCTCAGTTTTCTCCCACTGGGTTTTAGAGTTTTTTCTCACCAATGCAGGAGGGTCTGTTGGACAGTTAGTGTCTAACAAGAAGGACTGTGGTGATGATCCAGGACACTCAACATTCTGCAACATCTATGGACATTTATCAACATTCATGGACATTGGTCTCTCCAATGGACCAATACATATGTGTATTTTTTGTGTCTTAACTGTTGATTCTCTGATCTGTGTTGGTGATTTCAATGGTTTTGTTAAGTCCTCTGAGATGACTGCTGTTGTGATTTAGGGCTATACAAGAATAAATTCTATTGTATTGTATATTTTTTTTCAATTTTTTGGATTAAATTATAGAATCAAACACAAAGAACACAGAACTCACATGTATTGGTCCATAGGGGAAGTCGACCAATGTCCATGAAAGTTGATAAATGTCTATAAATGTTGTAGAATGTTAAAGTGTCCTGGATCATCATCACAGTCCTTTTAGTTAGACACTAACTGTCTAACAGACCCTCCTGTATCGGCAAGGAAAAACTCTGAGACCAAAAGACATAATGAAAGACATTATGATAATTGCTTAAAAAGTGAAGGGGGTGTGCAGTTTTTATCAATCTAATAAATTAGTCCTCACATGTCTTAATGACCACAAAGGCTCTGCATGTTGAGTTTGAGTTGAGTGTTTTTCAGTTTCTCATGTTATTGATATAATTCATAATTTTCCACGACAAATGAGTGAAGAAACATCAGCCTCATTGGTGTCACTGAGCTGTGAGCGGTCAGTGCAGGAGGCTCTTTATGAATCCAGACTCTTAGATAGACAAATCATCGATGACTCTCCAAGGCCACTCTGAACCATCCATGTTCCAGCTTATTCCCTCTGGAAGAAGATATACTGTAGATCTTTGAGATGCTGGACAGCTTCTTCTCCCACACAATTTAAAGTTGTAGAGGAGGATTTTCTACTTCCGGGCAAATCAGTAAGTACTTTATTTATATAGCATATTTTTACAGACCAAGGTCACACAAAACGCTTTACAATGTTCAAAGTTCAGATAGTGTTCCAGAAGAGAGTCGCCGAACACAATGGCCTCGGACCAACACCATCCATTTACTCACTTACTCACTACATTCAGACCTATCGTGCATGTTTTTAGTGGTAGGGGAAACTGGAGTACCCGGAGGAAACCTACGCATACACGGGGAAAACATGCAAACTCCACTCAGAAAGGCCCTGTTCCGACTGGGATTTGAACCTAGGACCTTCTTGCTGAGAAGCGAGAGTTCTATCCCCTCAGTCACTGTGGTGATACTTGCTCCTCAAATAAGACCCGAGAGTTTTGTGGAGAAGGCAGTTCTTTCCAAACATTAGGGAAAATCCTCCTATATACCTTTAAGAATGCACTTTAATGGTTGATCTGCCACTTTATTATACTGTCTTTTATCTGATTGTTTCACGGTGATAATTGTACCTTTAGTTTATTTTGCTATATTTTTTAACTTTCTAATATTGTTTTCTCTGGTGCAGTAATTTTTCACAAGTATTTCCATGTTGTTTTAAAATCCAAATGAACTGAACATGAATCTAATAGTGAGTCAAACGAGTTAAATCTAAGGTTTTTTGAGGTTACGAAATGCCAAAAACCTTATCTTTCAGAAATATTGTTACGCTCCTAAAACTGAAACCAGACAAATAATACATACTTTTGGTTTGCGCAAAAGTGAAGCAGCACAGAGGGAAAAGGTCGAGTCAGGCTTTCGGGAGAGTAAATATTCATAAGTACTGACTGTGGCGCTGAAGAGTCCGTGGGCGAAGAACAGCTCGTTGTCGGGGTCGCGGGGCTTGGTGGAGATGCGCAGGTCGAAGAAGCGAATGCCGGACTCCAGCTGACTGGTGAAGTTCATGGTCTGCGTGGCCAACCATTTCCTCATCAGCTTTTTGGCCACGGCCCCAAACACAGACACAAAATTCTGCACGGTCTCCGGCTGCTCGGGGCCCACGGGAGAAGATTCGTCGATGTAGAAACTGAAGGAGTCGTGGGAGCCTGCAGGAGACACAGGAAGTGAGGTTATATTTAAAAACCTATATCACACATGCACGCACACACCCCACAATGCATTAAATTCGGCTCTTAAAGCTGCACTAATTTTCGAATATGAACGCTGGCCTCGCTCTTCTGCTCCCCCTCCCCGCATTCACGAAGCTATCGTCCCCCACTACCCCCCTCCCCCTCAGCCTGTACTCATGTGCTGTTGTTAACTTTACGGAGCTCACGTCTCACAATATGGATCGCACATTTGAACGTGGATGGTGTGGCCACAAAATGATAGAACCGGGAAGCGCGGAGGAACGAGACTTTCTTTTGGATGGCTGTCTCGCTGTGTAAGCAGTAACCGGCAACAAAGACACGGAAAGCTTCAGGTTAACCTCTGCCGCTTGTTTACCTGAGCTGTCTGTGCTAACAAGAGACCTGTAGCTTTTCTCAAGAAAGTGGGGGCCAGTGGTTCGCGTGATTGGTCACAATCTGGTCCCGAAACAAATTCTCTTCCTTGTTGCACAAAAACTTGATCAAAAATTGCATGGATATGGGTGGAATTTTTGTGATTGATACAAAAATAAAGTGAGGTAACGCAGCTTTAAATTAGGGCCACCCCCGTCCCTACCCTCTGTAGGGACGGGGGTGGCTCTTTTATTCCTTATCTGTATGATTTTCATGTACATATTGACTTGCATTGTTTTTGTATAATGCTATTTGTCACTTTTGCTCTTGATGCTTCAAATAAAGATTATGAAAAAAACAAACAATACAAATAAAACTTATATCATACCATTTTTTAAGTCATTTTATGAATCTTTTAGAGAGGAGCTTTTAAACCTGATGAATTGCTCTCTTCAGACTGGGGTCTTTCCTGCAGCCTTCAAAGCGGCTGTGGTGAGGCCCCTTCTGAAGAAGAGCAATCTGGATTTTAATGATTTTAACAACTACAGACCGGTATCCAACTTACCATTTTTAAGCAAAATTTTAGAAAAACTTGTTTTTACCCAGCTCATTGCCTTTTTAGATCAGCAGAAAATTTTAGAGAAATTTCAATCAGGATTTAGGGTGAACCACAGCACAGAGACTGCTCTTTTAAAGATTTTAAATGATTTTAGACTAAATTATGATTCTAAAAAGGTGACCGTGTTGGTTCTACTGGATCTAAGCGCTGCCTTCGACACAGTAGACCACACCATTCTTTTATCACGCCTACAACACCTCGGCCTCTCTGGTGCTGTCCACAAATGGTTCACTTCTTATTTAACAGACAGATCCTTCATGGTAAGTTTGGATACCTGCTCCTCTCAGGTTCATAAAATCACATGTGGTGTGCCCCAGGGTTCCATTTTAGGTCCAGTCCTTTTTAACCTGTACATGCTCCCTCTTGGCGGTGTCATCAGGAGACATGGAATTGACTTCCACAGTTATGCAGATGATACACAGCTGTACATCTCCATGTCTCCTGATGACACCAGGCCAATGGATGCTCTTTTTAACTGCATTTTAGACCTGAAATCCTGGATGGCAGAAAACTTTCTCCAGCTCAACCAGGACAAAACTGAGGTTTTAGTCATCGGTCCTGAGGCCCAGAGAGAGAAACTTTTACCGAAACTCCAATCACACTCTTTTAATCCATCATCACAAGTGAAAAACCTGGGCGTAATCTTTGACTCTGAGCTGACTTTTATTCCTCACATCAAGAACATCACAAAAATAGGTTTTTATCATTTAAAGAACATCGCCAGAGTCCGCCCCATTCTCTCTCGGGCCAACACGGAGACGCTGATGCATGCTTTTATCACCAGTCGCATTGACTACTGTAATGCCCTGCTCTCTGGTCTTCCCAAAAAGAACATTTCAGGTTTACAATTACTTCAAAACTCGGCCGCACGTGTCCTGACTAAGACCAGGGGGCGGGACCACATTACACCGGTTTTAAAATCGCTGCATTGGCTCCCCGTGTGTTTCAGGATCGATTTTAAGGTTCTTTTAATGGTTTTAAATGTCTTAATGGTCTTGGGCCTTCTTATCTTTCAGATTTGCTTTTATCCTATGAGCCTTCCCGGCCCCTGCGCTCCTCCGGCAGCAGACTCCTAACCATCCCCAAAGTCAGGACACACACTCACGGCGAGGCATCTTTCCAGCACTACGGCCCCCGTCTCTGGAACAGTCTGCCGGAGGAGCTCAGGGCCGCAGAGAACGTTCATATTTTTAAGAGTAGGCTCAAGACGCACCTTTTTAGAGTAGCTTTTGATTAGTATTTATTATTTATTATTGCTTTTTAGTACATCTATTTATGTTTTTAGACACATTCTATTTTTATTTATTTTTATTATTTACTATTTTTAATTATTTATTGTATCTACCCATTTACTATTGTTATTATCAATATTAGGCAGCTGCCATTTTTCTTTTTATTGTCACATTTTATTGTTCTACTTTCTATTGTATTGTTTTAGTGTCCCCAGTGTTTCCTCTGGAGGAGCCCTCTGCACTGAGAGCTGGGGTCTGCTGTGGCTTCGGGGGCTGGCTCTTGGATCCGTGGGGGTCTGGGGCCTCCTCTCTCCTCTGGGTCCTATGGGGTCTGAGTCCTGGGCCTGGTGGGGTCTGGGGCCCCTCTCTCCTCTGGGTCCTGTGTCGTTCCCTGTGGCTGCAGCCGGCTCTCTGCTCCTGGTGCAGATGGCTCCTTGGATGACGCTTCTTCAGCCGGTTACATCTGCTCCCAGCCCCATGTCTTTTTATTGTTTTACCTATTTTACCTGATATGACTTTATACTTGTGTGTGTGTGTGCGTGTGTGTGTGTGTGTGTGTGTGTGTGTGTGTGTGTGTGGGGGTGTATATGTGTGTGTGTGTGTATACGCATGTGGTTGTATATATAATTATAAATGTGGTTTTGGGGGGTCTGTGGGGAGGAGGGTTTAGGGCTGGGCATGTTGGATTGTTTTGAACTAAACTGTAAAGCACTTTGTGTTACACTTTTTGTATGAAAAGCGCTTTATTAATAAAATTTGATTGATTGATTGATCTAAAATGCCAAATTAACATTGGTCAAAAACATGTGTAAGCTACTTAAATTATATATATATTTTTTATTAATTTAAGATAATAATATAAATATTTCTGACCATGGGACACTGTACTATATTTTGAATAATCCCTCCCAATGGCATAATGACAACCAGTGATATTTGCTTTTTATTTGTAAGTGTAATCATTCTGCATAACTTTATGACTTACACTGACAAACACACACCCACCAGACTCATTCTAGGCAATGTGGGTGAAGTGTCTTGCCTAAGGACACAATGACATTTTGGCACTTCATAGCCGCAACCGCCCCACTGTGGCACCTGGAGGTCTCCCATCACAGTATTAACCAGGTCCTGTCCTGCTTAGCTTCAGAGGTGTGAGGTTTTGAAGTCATTTCAACTGAATACTTCCTTTAACATCCTTTATATATTATGTTGTATATAGATATATACTTGTGCAGGTCTCTTGTTCTGTGGCCTTCATCCAAACACCTCCTCCTGTCTGTGAGTCTGACAGAGAAAAACAATGCGTTGCCATGGCAGCAACTCTGCATCTGTGGATCCTGACTCCTGATCTCTGACAGAAAAAAGAGCGCTGTCTGTATTTACAGTACTTAAGAGACATCGCTGTTCTCACGGGAATGCACCGTGGGGAAAAACAAGTGCACACTGCACTTAAATGTGTGGCTTCCGACGCTTTGCTCATTCGCTGCTTTTTCGGAGCGCCGTCTGAGCTTTCCCCTGCAGTCAAAACGACACTAACAATCTCAAGTGTTAGCAGCTTTCCAGGCACAAAACACAATATTACACAATAACTCCTCATAGGATTAAACATTTTCAACTCCCCATATAGTATTTGACTGTGAAAATGAAATTTGTCCCATTTAAACTTATAAGCTATAGTTTTCTTCCGCTTCATCCGCTGCCGGGTCGCGGGGGCTGCAGTCCAAGCTGAGACGCCCAGACTTCCCCATCCACACACACTTTTCTCACTTTATGGCAAAATGAATTGATCATATTGTCAAGAAAAAAGTATTCTAATCATCAATTTGTTTTTTGACACAATAGAAATCACAGTGCACCCTTTGCAACTGAATGTACCTATGCAGATAATCCATTCAAAACCACTATTTTCAGCAACAATACAGTTATTAACCACAACAACAATGTCTAGACGGATCAATTAATGATGTTCCTGATTGAAGCAAGCTGTAATTTAGTGCATTTTTTACTTTTGGAGGAACAATTGTCCAGTTGTGTGTGTGTTTTAATTCATTTCATTGTGTTTTTTTATTCTAATTGAGGAGAGCTGGGACCAGAGAGAACCCTTATTGAATCAAAACAGAGAGCAGTTGCAATTTATTCAACAAATCTACAAGTGAAAACAATATAAGTCAATTTACTTCTGTAATTCAACGTACAATGGGAAACTAATAAGTAACTCATTACACACTACGTGAGATATTTTATTTGCTATAATGTTGATAATCAGGGCTCACAGCAAATAAAACATTATGACAAACAGATGCATATGTCACATTGCATGCAATGAGTCTACTTCATAAATTAGGTTCACATTTTAAAGATGCTATACCCGATTTTTTTTAATGAGTTCATAAAAATGCTTATTACTACATACAAGTTGTATTATAATCCGTAATTTAATTGAAAACTTGAGCTCATTGATTCAGCTGTGTATGAATTCAGGCCGTAAAAAGTGCTGAGTAGAGACTTAGCGTGACACTAGCTCTCCTCCAATCACAGAACGAGGCTGCGTCCTCTAGCCTCTACGGCGCTGCTAAACACAGTAGCATGTTAGCAGAATTGGCTATAACTCCTCTTGCTGTAACTGAAAAAATGATCAAAGAAGAAATCAAGCCCGGGTCAATATACGTAGCGTTAGCTTACATTGCATTGTATCCTCTGGAGAGACTTGTCTATGGGAGAGACCTGTGGGACTGCCTCGGACTATCTATGCTCGGACTACATTCGGACGCGGAACTAGCCGTAATCTTTCAGTTATATTTTGTTAGCAGTGCGTTGCTTTTGAACCATTTCATCAGTGATTGTTGTACAGCTTACAAGAAGTTGCGCTTATGCTAATGTTTGCATATAGATCGCAAATAAAACTAGACGGCTCTGTGGGATGAGAGCGTAGGGGAAATGAGAAGCCTCTGAGCGAGTTGGGGGGCGGTGCTAAACATTCAAACCTTGCAGAAACGGGTATAGCTCCTTTAAAGGTGTATGGGAGGATCTTCTTCTTCCGGGTGGATCATCTAAACCAGGGATAACAGAATATATCAGGGAGCCAAAAAAAATATTTTGCTAAAAGCCAAGGGCAGGACTGGTGAACCAAGACCTAACAGTGTACTGTATTTTATTCAATGACTAAATGAATTATCCAATATTTCTGTATGAAAAAATGCCTACAAAAAACAACAATCGTAAAGCGCTTTGTGACTTTGGTCTGTGAAAGGCACTATATAAATAAAGATGATTTACTTACTTACACAATACACAATACAACCATAACATACTTTTTCATGAAATAATCCTGCTTACACTCACTGCAATACGACACACACGCAAACACTCTATTCTTTAAGCTCAACATCAGAGTGGAAAGTGGATGTTCCGATAGCAGAGTGTGCTCCTTGTTTTAAAAGATCTTTACAGTCACTTCCATTAGAAATCTATCACTGCCTTATCTTTGAGGATTTAAACAAAAAATAACATTCATTCACTTTATATTTCGTACAATGTTATTTGTAACAGATGATAACGAATTAATTCCAATAATCATTAATTCAAATTAATATTTCAACATGTACAGGACACAGACGGATACACATGTTTATGACAAATACTATATATTACTTGCACTAGAATATACAGCACTTTATACTTGCTCCTTACAATGCTAAAGTCAGGGGGTTTTTGTACTTAATTCTTGCTTCTCCTTCTCCGTCTTGCTAAAGTTGCTTATTATAATAAAGATAGAGATTTAATACTACTTCTTTTTATGCTAGAGTTAGAGATTTTATTTTATTTTGTTTTATCTTATATAGTTATTAATCATTTATCTTGTGCAGTGAGCTGTTCCTCACTGTGGGACAAACACAGCATCTCTTCATCTGAACCTAACACTATATCACAAATACACTACCACAATCAACTGTATTTCTATTTTTGTCTGTTATCAGTGTGATTTTAATTCATATGTTTTCAATACCTTGCGTGACCTTAATGGTTGTTTTTATTGTTTTTGCCTCATGTGAGAGGGGCTGTGAAGCACTGTGTTATCTTGTGTAGGAAAAGCACTCTACAAATACAGATTGATTGACTATGGTACAAACATTTATTTATTTACATTTTTTTGCTATTGGGTTTTGAAAAAGATTTTTACAATGGCTTAAACTCCAATCTGTAAAGTGAAAATTTTAGTGGCTCTAAGTAAATGTCAATATGTGGTTATTGGCCTGATTGTGCCATGGTGTGTGCTTAGGTGATAATTAGCCTTTTACTGTTTGTGTAATGAGGAACACACACTGCCACATGTTCATGCATGAGGACCCGGCGGACCCTGACCTTCAAAGGGAAACATCGAGTCCAAAGGTCCAAACATGATATTCATTCAGGATATTTGTATGATTTCTCTGCATATGGTTTGAGTTTGAGCTGTACGGATGTGTTTTATTCATTTATTTTTTTCAAACCTGCACAACACATTACTGATTTGTACATATAATTAATATAACAGGCAAATAACTTGTACCTGGTTCAAAAAGGGGTTGGATGAAGCAGAAGCGTATTATATTCCAACCCCCATCCCACACACACACATAGTTACAACTGTAGAGTCCAAACAGTAATACATTACTACCACCGATGGTATAAGAAAGACAACAAAAAACACACTCACACACACTCTGACAACACACGGGCCCAAACACTCTCCGACCCTACACCTCTCCCCCACTACTTGCTCTGTGCTCAAGGCATCACTCTTTCATCCATTTCATCAAGACACCTTTTTTATACATTCTTTTACATTTCATCAGGTTACTTACTTCTTTATTATGCTCAATATATCATATATTATACTT